ACAAATAATAAGAGAATACTTTCACTCCTGTGGATGTAGGCACATTGCCGAACCACGTAAATCTTGTCTTCTTTATCCTTTACTGCCATTATTATTTTTCTTGTTCTTATTAATCTCAACAAATTGGTATCAGAGCACTGTTGAGATGACCAGTTCAAACACAAAATTCGAGGTATCAAAATTTGATGGTACAGGGAATTTTGGGTTGTGGCAATCTAGGGTAAAGGATTTGTTGGCACAACAGGGTCTTCTGAAAACTTTGAAGGCGGATAAGCCAGCTAATCTGGAAGAGGAAGATTGGGAAGATTTGAAGGAGCGTGCGGCAGGAACCATTCGGTTATGCCTAGACGATGGAATTGTGTATCACGTTATGGCCCTGGAAGCCCCAAAAGAAATTTGGGATAAATTGGAAACTCAGTTCATGGAAAAATCTCTAACGAACAAACTGTATCTAAAGCAAAGGCTTTATGGGCTTAAGATGGAGGAGGGTTCAGACTTGGTGCATCATATTAATGTCTTCAACCAGATAATCTCAGATCTGGCCAGGCTTGATGTCAAGATTGAAGATGAAGACAAGGCGATGATCTTGCTATGTTCATTACCTTTTTTCTTTTGAACATCTAGTGACTACTCTAACATACGGGAAAAGCACGATTAAATACAACGAGATCTCTGCGGCCCTGCAGGCTCATAATAAGCGCTTGCAGAGTGGATCGTCTGTTGGTGAAAGTTTGTATGCTAAAGAGGGTCAGGATTGTGGAAGGAAACAAGAGATGGGTAATTCTGGGAGGAGAAACTCTAGGTCTAAGTCCAAAAATAGCAGGAAAATCCGGTGCTATAAGTGTTATGAGATTGGGCACATAAAGAGAGATTGTCCAAAGTTGAAAAAACAACAAGAGGCGGCGAACGTGGTGCATGCTGATGACTCAGATTATAGTGAAGGTGATGTTCTAGCAGTTTCATCGAGTAAGTTGTCAGATGCTTGGATTCTAGACTCAGGATGCTCTTATCATATTACACCTAACAGGGAGTGGTTCACAACCTATAAGTCAGGTACTTTCGGTTCTGTTTTTCTGGGTGATGATAGATGTCATAATATCATAGGTATTGGTGATGTTAACATCCAGATGTATGATGGTATTGTCAGAACTTTGCATGATGTCAGACATATACCGGGATTAACTAAGAACCTGATTTCTCTTGGCAGTTTGCATGCTAATGGTTTTATTCATAAGTCTGAGAGTGATAAGGAAACCATTAAAATTAGTAAGGGTGCTTTAACTGTGATGAAAGGGAAAAGGACCACAGGGAACATTTATAGGTTGTTGGGTAGTACTGTTGTAGGTGGAACACATTCTATTGAGTCTAGTGATGATACTACTAGGTTGTGGCATTTACGTTTAGGTCACCTTGGTGAACGTGGTCTATCTGATTTGCACAAAAGGAATTTGTTAAAAGGAGTTAAATGTTGTAAGCTAGATTTCTGTGAGTTCTGTGTCCTTGGGAAACAGACTAGAGTCAGTTTTTCTACTGGGCAGCATAAAACTAAAGGGATTCTGGATTATGTGCATTCTGTTGTTTGGGGACCTACCAGGGAACCTTCAATGGGTGGCTCTCGATATTATGTTACATTTACTGACGATTTTTCTAGGAAAGTCTGGGTGTATTTCTTGAAACATAAATCTGAAGTGTTTGAGAAATTTAAGTTGTGGAAAGCTGAGGTTGAGAACCAGACTGGAAGAAAAATCAAGTACCTGAGGTCTGACAACGGGACAGAATATACTGAGAAAGAATTTCAGAAATTCTATGCAGAACATGGAATTCAAAGGCACTATACAGTGCGTAAAACACCACAACAGAATGGTGTTGCTGAGCGGCTGAATAGAACCATTGCTGAGAGAGCAAGGTGTCTCAGATTGAATGCTGGGCTCTCTAAGTGTTTTTGGGCAGAAGCAGTGAACATGGCATGTTACTTGATCAATAGATCACCACGGACATCACTTGGTGGCAAGGTTCCTGAGGAGGTTTGGTTAGGTAATCCTGTAAGTTTTGATCACTTACGAGTTTTTGGTTGTCCTAGCTATGTTCTTATTCCAGGTGATGAGAGATCAAAGTTAGATCCCAAGTCGAAGAAGTGCATCTTTTTGGGTTACAAGAAAGGTGTAAAAGGATATAAGTTTTGGGATCCTGCAACCAAAAAGGTGGTGATTAGCAGAGATGCAGTGTTTGATGAGAATTTCATGTTCCAGCCAAAGAAAGAAGATACACTAGTTGATGGTTCTAGCACAGTAGAAGTGGATATGGATCGTGTACCTTTGAGTGAGAAAGTAGTTAATCAACCTACGATTGAGACTCAAGAAGTTGCAGATCCTACATCTGCAGCAGGTTCGAGTTCAGAAAATTTACAAGATTACAATTTGGCTAGAGATAAACCGAGACGCACCAATGTCAAACCACCTAGTAGGTATGGGTTTGAGGATATGGTTTCTTTTGCACTTCTTGTTTCTAATAATGATCCAGTTACCTTTCAAGAGGCTATTTCTAGCCAGGAGAAAGATAAATGGATGGCAGGTATGATTGAGGAGATGGAGTCTTTACATCATAATCATACTTGGGAGTTAGCTCAACTTCCTCAAGGAAAAAAGGCTATAGGATGCAAGTGGGTCTATAGGAAGAAGCTACCAGTATCAGAAAAAGAAGGGGAAAGGTTTAAGGCTAGGTTAGTTGCGAAGGGGTTTTCTCAACAGAAGGGGATAGATTATGATGAGGTTTTCTCTCCTGTTGTTAGACATACTTCTATAAGATTAGTACTTGCTTTGGTAGCCATTTGGGATTTGCATTTGGAACAAATGGATGTGAAAACTGCTTTTCTATATGGTGATCTAGATGAGAAAATTTACATGAAGCAACCTGAAGGGTTTGTTAAACCCGGAGGTGAGCATCTGGTTTGTGGACTCAAGAGGTCTTTGTATGGGCTGAAACAGGCTCCACGGCAATGGTACAAGCGGTTCGATGCTTACATGATTCAAATTGGCTATACACGTTGTGAGTATGATTGTTGTGTCTATGTTAAAAGCCTTGGTGATGGTTCTTTTATTTTTCTGTTACTGTATGTGGATGATATGTTGATTGCTGTTAAGAGTATGAATGATATTACTGCATTGAAAGTGTTGTTGGGTTAGGAATTTGATATGAAAGACTTAGGAGTTGCACAGAAAATTCTTGGCATGGAAATTCACAGGGATAGAGGTGCAAGAAATTTGTGGCTAACTCAACAGAGTTATATAGAGAAAATTCTTGACAGGTTTGGGATGAGTAAGTCTAAACCGGTTAGTACCCCTTTGGCTAATCATTTTAAACTCTCATCCAGTCAGTGTCCCCAAACAGTTAGTGACATTGAAAATATGGCAAAGGTTCCTTATGCTAGTGCAGTTGGTTGTTTAATGTATGCAATGGTTTGTACTCGACCTGATTTGGCTCATGCTGTTAGCCAAGTTAGTAAGTACATGTCTAAACCTGGGAAGCAGCATTGGGAAGCAGTTAAATGGATTCTCCGGTACTTAAGGGGCACTATGGAGCATGGTATTGTATTTGGAAGTCAACAGAATGAGCATGTACTCATGGGATATGTGGATTCTGATTATGCTGGTGACATGGATAATAGACGTTCTACAACAGGGTATGTTTTTACTCTTGGGGGTGGTCCTATTTGCTGGAGATCATCAGTTCAATCTATTGTAGCTTTGTCTACAACTGAAGCAGAATACATGGCTGTGACTGAGGCAGCTAAAGAGGCTTTGTGGCTTTCAGGTTTGATTAAGGAGTTGGGTATTGAGCAAGATGGAGTTCAATTACACTGTGACAATCAAAGTGCCATTTTCTTAGCTAAAAATCAAGTATACCATGCCAGAACCAAACATATTGATGTAAGGTTTCATAAGGTCAGAGAGTTGGTTGCTTCTGGTGAGATTTTGTTGCAGAAAATTCATACAAGTGAGAATGCAGCAGACATGTTGACAAAGGCAGTTACTAGTGACAAGTTCAAACATTGTTTGGACTTGTTGGGTGTTTCCAGATGTTAAATGAACATGGTGGTCCTAATCCAGGGAGACTATGAGATGAGTTTTTTCTCCTAAAGGGCTTATTTGCGAAGGTGGAGATGGTTAGATAAGTATTTTCTCCTAAAGGGCTTATTCGCCAAGGTGGAGATTTGTTGAGTTATCTTTTTCTCCTAGAGAGCATATTCGCCAAGGTGGAGATTTGTTGTGTTTGTCTCATAAAAGGATTAGGAATATGAGTTTGTCTCATATAAGGAATAGGAGTGAAAGGGAGATTATATGCCTATAAATATAATCAATGTATCTCATCACCTTGTACACCATCACAAATAATAAGAGAATACTTTCACTCCTGTGGATGTAGGCACATTGCCGAACCACGTAAATCTTGTCTTCTTTATCCTTTACTGCCATTATTATTTTTCTTGTTCTTATTAATCTCAACATCATTGTATACTTAATTTGATTAGAAAATGCTTGCTCAGATAACAACAAATGGTGGGTGTGTTGATGATGAAGGCGGGGTCGCCATTTATTCTGGTGGGTGTTGATGATGAAGGCGGTGGTGGAGGTGTCACCACAAATTTGTTTTTTTTTTTTCATTAAATTTCATGTCATTCATTTTGACTGGCAACCGGACTCAAACCTGTAAAAAATGCTATTTCAATAATTTTAAGAAGTTAATGTGCCTAATTGCAACATATTTTAGATGAAGGTGTAAATTGAGCACTACAAAGGAGTAGAAGGGTCAATTTGACACTTCTGCCAAATAAAAAACGAAATAGAAATTGAAAGTTGTGTAGTATTACTCGTTGATTACAGCCCTAGGAAGAAGATCGACTTTGACATTGACGCGGAAGCAAGAAGAAATAAAATTATATTGTCAAACATAGCTATTATCGCCAGCAAATGAAATGTCGGACTACCAAACGTACTTTTTAGTGTTGAAATGGATGTACTACAAATTAATGTTGAAAGATAGAATTATTATCTGGGATACAAATCTGAAATCGAAACTTCATTCATGGACTGATCCACTACTGTTTCTCCAACCCAAATCCTCTCAATTCCAGCATTGAAAAATGCAGGCGGATTAGACGGTGTTCTCCTTGTAACAGAAAAGCTATTCAGCATCAACACAACATTCGCCATTGTTGGTCTTTCATCCACATCTTCTTGGACACACAACAACCCAACGTTGATACATTGGATCACTTCATCTCTCGAATACAAACCTCTAAGACTTTGATCCACCATCTCTAGTGGTCTGTCCTCCCTCCAATGTTTCCAAGCCTGCAACATTATATTCACCACTTTAATACTTTAATATGTGCATGCTTCATAACATAACAGTGATTGTTAGTTTTTGTTGTGGATTTCTAATTTACTCACATAGCTAAGAAGATCTTTAGCTCCAGTTGATTTCATGGACAAAGAATTGTTTCTCTTTCCAGTTATAATCTCCAAGAGTATAACTCCGAAGCTGAAAACATCTGATTTTACGGAGAATAAGCCATGCTTAACATACTCGGGAGACATGTAGCCACTGCAAAACCATAACATAAATAAAAGATCTAATCAAACAAGAATGAGTTCTAATTGTTCTAAATTTGTTTAGTAAGAGTACATGCACCTCTGGAAATTAAAACTTACTATGTTCCTATAACTCTATCCGTATTTCCTTGGGTCTGATCTGTCATAAAAACTCTTGCCAAGCCAAAGTCAGATATTTTTGAGTTCATATCTCCGTCTAAGAGCACATTGCTTGCTTTTAAATCTCGATGTATAATTTTGAGACGCGAATCTTCATGAAGATAAAGGAGTCCACGAGCTATTCCTACTATGATCTTGAAGCGAGTGGACCAATTCAATAAACGCTTCTTCTCTGGATCTGCATAACAATTAACAAAATTATATTTAAGCCCTCAAGTTAGGTTGTTATTTTGATCTCTCAACTTCAATAAAATCATAAGAGAAAGGGAAGGTATTCCCATATTTAAAACTAACCAAACAAAAAGTAGTCAAGGCTTTTGTTAGGAACAAATTCATAGACGAGTATCTTTTCTTCTCCCTGCAAGCAAAACCCTAACAATTTTACTAAATTTCTATGTAAAAGCTTGGCAACCAATGCAACCTCATTCTTGAATTCAACAGCTCCTTGTCTTGAACTCCTTGACAATCTCTTCACCGCTACTTCTTGTCCATTGGGAAACCTTCCCTTAACACCAGAAATATATACAATCAATGAATAGTAAAAATTCACAACTCAAGCATCTAAAATGAACGTTGAATATAATATTACACATTGTAAGACAAGATTTGTACCTTGTAAACAGAACTACATCCACCTTCACCAATCTTATTATCCGGAGAAAAATAATTTGTTATAGCTTGAATAGTACCAAAATCATATTGGACTGATTCCTCTATTGGAATTTCAGTCATGCCTACACAAATACATAAAAGATAATTAAACGGATTAGTATTGCTAACAAGAACAGATTGTCGAAAATTGATGATAATAAATTAACAGTAATCACATGTAACATATATAGTACTCATTACCAGAAGTAGTCTTCTTCACACGATAAATGGACTTCTTCGCTCTTTTCATTTTGAAGAAACAAAAGCATGAAACGAAGAGTAATATCCCAGTGACTGACACTACAGAGGCTGCAATCACTTTTGCAGAAGATTTTCCTCTATTCCCTGCATGAATTAATCCTCACTAACAGATACACTTAAACAAACTAAGCAAGATTCACTACTGAAAAATATGGAATTTCCGACCACCTGAAAATGATCTTAAATCAAGTCGAAAGTCTTGTTCCGACCACTTTTGGTATCCGGAAAAATTTTTGTTGCTATCTCCGACCACTTTTTGCTTTCAACTTGATACAAGATCATTTTCAGGTGGTTGAAAATTCCATAATTTTCAGCAGTGATTATGGATTACAGAATTTGGCAAATTTGGGTTTGTTTTGAAAATTAGGAAAATATTTTCAAAAAAATAATTTTTGTAAAATAATTTGATTGAAAGTCAGAAAATTATCATCATCAGGTTTACCTTTACTGGTAGTGGAATTGGGAAGCACAGATGGTAGAAGAGGAGGGGAAGGAGGATGGATGGGAGGCCGCGGTGGCGGCGATGCCACGGCGGAGACATTGTAGAAAGCATAGAGCTCATACCTAACGCTACAGCTTGGGTACACAGCTCTAGCACCCAAGGCTCCATAACAGCAATAAGGCAGTTCATTAATGGCGTTTCTGAAGCATATCTGACAGTCAACGGTAGAGAGGTCCGGCGTACACTGTCCAAGAACATACACCGTCTCAAAGAGAAAAATACTCTCCACGCTAAAATTAGTTTGCAACACTGCAAATTTCTTGTCGGAGCCACTGGATACCGGAGTGATTATCTGATCAAACATGTTTCCGACCAACTCCATGAACTGATTTGGCACTTCAGTTTCGTTTTTCGGGTTACTCATTTCGTACCAGGTCGATTGGTCTAATATCCCCAACATGGACGTCTCTGAGTAACGCAACAAACAGTTATCGTACCAAACAATAGCCGTCGTTTCATTGGTGCAAAGCTCCAATATCTTTATACGGGCCTCTCCGATGCAGCTCCGGCAATCGTCGGTGGAGACGTCGCCCCGGCACAGGAACAAGCCGTGCACGGTGTCGTTGGAACGGCGGCTGCCGCCAACTGTGGCGTGGTAGAAACCATTGTCTCGGGTGGCGTTGGAATGAAGATTGGAGAGAAGAGAATCAAGGTTGGCTTTGTAGGTGCTGTTAGGGGTGTAAGAAGTTGTATTTCGGCAGTCATAATTCATAACTTTAAGAGAGCTACCTTTGGCGATGATGCACATCAACAAGCAAAACCAAATCATGATCATCTTCATATAAGCTGAGGCACATCACACTACAGCAACATATAACAATAAATGTCCGTTTGGCTAGCTCAGTTGATCTGACCGGCACCCTAAAGTCTTGGTTCCGGCAGCAGTGTGGGTTTCAAAACACGTTGGACTAGCTCAGTTGGTTCGACCAATCACTCTAAAGTGGCAACTGTGTAGGGTTTTTAAAGCTCGTTAGACTAGCTCAGTTGATTCGACCAATCACCCTAAAGTCTTGTTCCAGCAGTGGGGTTCAAAGCTCGTTGGACTAGCTCAATTTCGATCACCTTAAAGTCTTGCTCTAGCGGTAGTGTAGGGTTTCGAATTTCCCTGGAACTTAGAGGTCATTAAGAGATCTTGACTGATTAGGAAGACCTAGATATTGACGGTGGAGCTGGCGAGGGATAGAAATTCTGGGGACTTAAAAGTAATCTGACATAAGTTAAGAAACTTGATATATAAACAAAAACATATACAATAAACTATATATGCAGTGAAGAAGATGAATATATGGAATAGGCTGTTTTATGTATTGTAGTAGGAACAGCCCTAGCGTGAAGGAAGGAGTAGACAAGAGTTAAGGTTGGTCAAATTTTATAGTAATTTTTATGAGTCTAATAATGACTTAAAACATCTCTTTGAGCTTACCCGCGACGTACGCTGCCCCATTCATACGAAGAAGACTTTTGACATTATTCACCATTTGGTCAACTATATTTAATCATCAATCAATTCACCTAAGTCATGCCAACTGCCCAACTTACAACTAGCAAGTTTTTTTTTTTTTTTTTTCCTCAAAAAAAAAAAAATTTAAACTTACTATATATTTTATAAAGTATGATACTTGATAAAAATAGATTTCAAACTTTTAGTCAAATTTGAAAATTACCTCAAAGTTGTATATGGATCGAATATTAATAATGTAAGGAATAAGAGGTATAATTATTGTTATTATCAAGATTATCATGTGAGAATGTAAACTAGACCAAAATTACAAACCTAGAATTACACTATTGAAATAGAGAATAGGAGATGAGATTGTATTAACGGAGTGAGTACAAAGTTAGTCGGTTTGTCCAATCCAAGTGAATACATCTATATTTACCAAACACTCCAATATCTTGCAATACCATCACTATTATCATATCATACACCAATCACACTATCATTGCTACATCAACTGAGATTTGATTTTAATTTTTATAAAAATATAATGTTATTGATAGGGCATTAGGTCGACCTTTGGTGATGAGGCCGATACACAAATCTATCTTGAAATAATTATTTCTATGTAATTATTTGGGATACAACTCTGAAATGGAAGCTTCAATTCATTGAGATTTAATTTCTTCTGGACTACTGATCCATTTATTGAGCTGGTGAAAGCGTGGTTGTTTCACTTCCACACTCGAAAATTATAGGCGGATTAGGTGTCCTCCTCGTAGCAGAATTACTATTCAACATCAGCACAACATTCGCCATTATTGGCCTTGCATCCACATCTTCTTGGACACACAATAACCCAACATGGATACATTGAATCACTTCATTTCTCGAATACAATCCTCCAAGGCTTTGATCCACCATCTCTACAGATGTATCCTCCTTCCAATGTTTCCATGCCTGCAACATTAACCATCTCCATGGTTAAGCCATTATATATCAAATATGCTTTAACAGACATTTTCAAATATATATACTCACATAGCCAATAAGATCTTGAGCAGCTCCAGCTGATTCTGTGGAGCTAGGGAAAGAAGTAGTTTTCTTCCCAGTTACAATCTCCAAGAGTAGAACTCCGAAGCTATAAACATCTGATTTCACAGAGAACATGCCATGCATAACATACTCGGGAGACATGTATCCACTGCAAAATCATAAATAAAGGATTGAATCAAACAAGCTAATTAAACAATTACTACTCTAAATTTGTTAGCTAGAATCTAAGTGCATGTGTGATGTGTGTGAAAATTAAAACTTACTATGTTCCGATGATTCTACTTGTACTTCCTTGGGTTTGATCTATCATTAAAATTCTTGCCAGGCCAAAGTCGCTTATTTTTGGATCCATATCTCTGTCTAATAGTACATTGCTTGCTTTCAAATCACGATGTATGACTTTAAGATGTGAATCTTGATGAAGATAAAGGAGCCCACGGGCTATTCCTCCTATGATTTTGTAACGAGTTGGCCAATTCAATAGTTGTTTCTTCTCTGGATCTGCATAATAATTAACAAAATTTAAGTAGGACTTAAGTCATAATATTATTATTTTAATCTAAAGTTGATACTTACCGAATAAAAAGTAATCAAGACTTTTGTTGGGAACAAATTCATAAACGAGTATCTTTTCTTCTCTTTCTAAGCAAAATCCCATCAGCTTTACTAAATTTCTATGTTGAAGCTTGGCAATCAATGCAACCTCATTCTTGAATTCTCCATCTCCTTGTGTTGAACCGCTAGACAGCCTCTTCACCGCTACTTCTTGCCCGTTGGGAAGCCTTCCCTGCGCACCACCAATGTATAAATTTCATAAGTCTAGCTAAAATGAACAACATTTATCCAATGTAACATTACACATTAAAAGACCACTAGACTTTGCGTACCTTGTAAACAGCACCATATCCACCTTCCCCAATCTTATTATCAGCGGAGAAGCAATTTGTGATAGCTTCAATAGTACTAAATTCATATTGTACTGACTCCTCTATTGGAATTTCACTCATGCCTACACAAATATATAATTAGTATTACTAGCTAACAAATTAAAGAACAGATAAAGGAAAATTGATGATAATCAGATCACAACCAATATGGTACTGCATTACCAGAAGTAGTCTTCTTTACATCAGAATGGGACTTCTTTGCTCTCTTCATTTTCAAGAAACAGAAGCTTAAAGCGAAGAGTAATATTATGCCAGTGACTGACACTACAGAGGCTACAATCACTTTTGCAGATGATTTTCCTTTATTCCCTGCACACAAACAAATATATTTTCCATTGTGTTGCTATATATATATATATACTGCATTCAATAATTTGTAAAGGTTAATTTTTTTTTTTTGTTTGTTTTTGACTAACAAGAGAAACCCGCTGCCACTATAACAGGGTGTGTGTTGGGTTAACTTTGTTGACCTAAATCAAGAAGGTCAGTAGACAGATTTCACTGAGAGTCTAACTTGTAATATTATGATTATCAAGTCAACAGCCCGATCAATTTGGCTGGGATTGCTCTAATAGTTTGTTAATGAATGACTAGAACAAGAGCAGTTTACCTTTGCTGATAGCAGAACTGGGAACTATAGGTGTTTGAGGAGGATGATGGATAGGCGGTGGTGGCGGCGGCGGTGCGGCCGAGGGGGAGAGAAAGTAAAAAGGGTAAAGCTCATACCTAATGTTACAGCTTGGGAACAGAACCGTAGCACCTTGGTTTCCAAAACAGCATAGACGCATATATTTAACAACATTTCTGAGACATATCTTACAGTCAACCTTAGAAAGGTCCGGAGTACACTGTCCAAGAGCGTACACCCTCTCCGCGGTGGCGCTAAAATTGGTTTGTAACACCGCAAATTTCTTGCCGGAACCAATGGACGCTCGAGCGGTTATCTGATCCAACATGTTTCCGACCACCTTCATCAACTCGTCTGGTTTATAAGTATCGTTAAACGGGTTTCTCATGGCGAACTGGGTCGACTGGTCGTCCATTATCCCCAGCACGGGGTTCTCCGAGTAACGCAACATGCAGTTAGCGAACCAAATCATAGCCGTCTTTTCGGAGTCGCAGAACACAAACACCATTTCACGAGCTTCTCCGACGCAGGTCTGGCAGTCGTGGGCGGAGACGTCGCCCCGGCACAAGAACAAGCCGTGCACGGTGTCGCCGGGACGGCTGCCGGCGACTGTGGCGTGGTAGAAGCCATTGTCTTGGGTGGCGTTGGAATAAAGATTGGAGAGAAGAGAATCAAGGTTGGCTTTGTAGGTGCTGTTAGGAGTGTAAGAAGTTGTGTTTTTGCAGTAAAAATGCCAGACAAGATCAGAGCTTCGAGCTTTTGCGATGAAGCTCATAAACAAGCAAAACCAAATCATGATCATCATCATATTAATTATGAGCAGAGGGATATCACAGTAGAAGAACATATAATAAAATTTATTATGGACAATCAAGTATATATGTCGTGAATGAAGAAGATATATGCATATATGGTGGGTTGTTTTATTTATTGTCGTAGGAACAGCGCAGCGTAACGTGAAGGAAGGAGTAGAGAGGAGTTGCGGTTGGCAAGTTTTAAAATATACTGTACTCCCTTAATATGATGGTATGAATTAGAAATTTAGAACAGAGTTTACTAGCAATAGCTTTATTTATTTATACTTATGTAATAGTTGGTGAAATTATAGGATATTGGATTTTACCATCTAAGCTACTGTCCAATGGGAAGAGACTTTCGATCAGCTACCCATATTTGTATATTGCTCTCTCATTTCAAAATATGAATCCACATATTATTATATTTGTAACTTTCTCACCGTTTTTTTATATCTCTACAATTTCAATTTATTTTTACAAAATAATAATAATAATAATAAGAGTCATACTTGTGTGAGACCATGTCATAAATCTTTATCTGAGAGACAAGTCAGATTGGGTCAATATGAAAATGTAATACTTATACTGCAAAATGAAATACTAATTAGGAATAAAATGTTTGTTATTTATAAGGAAAAATGTAATATATATATATATATATATATATATATATATATATATATATATATATATATATATATACTTTTGATGACAATTGTAATATTTTTATATTTTGATTTAAAAGTATTATATTTTTCATCAAAAGTATTACATTTTCCCTTATAAGTATTGTTGACAAATGTTTGTTACTTATAAGGGAAAATGTAATACTTTTAAAGGGAAAATAGCATTTTTTTTTCCCCTGAGTTATATACTTATAGCACTTTTTTTTCCTGAATTATTCAAGGGGTTGTTTTTCCCCTAAAATGTTAAATGGACATATTTACCCTTAAAATAAATATTTCATTTATTTTTCTTGTCCAACAAATTATGACCATATTTTGGTTCAAACCAAACAGACACTATAACAACCAAACTGAAATATTCCAATTACAATTTAGAATCGAAATTTGATATTTAGAATTTATTAAAATCGCAAACCGGAACGCCGGTTCATGTTCCGAATAGAAAAAATAAACTACATTTATTGTTCAATTTAGACTATTTTAAAATAAAAAAAAATAAAAATTTAAAATAAAGACGGTTCAAAATCGCGAACCGGATCCGGAACCGCCGGTTCACGGTTCAGGATCCAGTTTTTTTGATTCATAATTTTAGTAAATTGAAATCCAAATATTGGTTCTAGATCTGAATCATAACCGGAAACTTTTAATTCGATTGATATAGTGTTCGGTTCAGTTCGAACCGAACCGTGACCATCCCTACGTATACGCAATAATTTGTTGGAGAAGTAAAATAAATAAAATGTTTACTTTAAGGATAGAAATGTCAATTTAATATATTAGGTGGAAAAATCACCACTTTTAGAATAATTGAGGGGGGCTAATGTGCTTACATAAATAATTCAGGGGGAAAAAGTGTTATAAGTATATAACTACGGAGAAAAAGTGTCATTTTCTCACTTTTAAATCAAAATGTAAAAATATTATATTTTTCTTTAAACTAGTATTTGACCCGTGCGATGCACGGGATGTAAATTAAAAAGTATTAATTGTGTGTATGTTATGTTACAAATTGTGTGAACTAATGCGGTTAAAATTTATAACATATAAATGAAATATATTTGGGAATTCAACAAAAACCATATGAAAATGGTATGTTACAAATAGTTGCAAGGTGATGGTACTATAAAAAGACTACATTACAAAATTACAAATTATTGAAAACTTCATGATATACAACATTAGTGGTTGATGTAGTAGTTGAACTTGAGTCTTTTACTATCAATATTTTGAGACCGTCTGGATTGTTAACCCGAGATGCAGCTACGTACAACTGACCGTGTACAAAAACCGGTTTCTTTAGTATTAATCCGACCTGAGAATAGATCATACAACTTTTGAGGAGGCTTTGTCATGAATGACAACTTTATTTTACCATTGACACAACATGCAGAGTATTTTGGAGAATTATATGACCTGTTCATTGTACAAAAAAAAATGAATTACAATGTTCGCAAACATAATCTGGATCACCGATATCAAAATAATAATCTAAAAATAATAATAACTATTAGTTTGTATTTAACATAATAATGTAGTTTAGTGTCGTCCAAAGACCAGATCTTTTTTTTCCTAATACATTTAATATGAACTCACCATTGTTTGAGGGCACATGGTCATGTAACGGTTCAACAACGTCCTCAAAATCTGACATCAAATTTTCTATATAAATAATAAAATTTTATTCCTCATTAGTATTATATTTTGCAGTATAAGTATTAGATTTGATCTTGACCTGATCCGACCCGTCTCACGAGCCACGAACAAGGATCTGTGAGACGGTGGCTATGTTTGGAAAAAACCTAGCTAAAAAGGTAGCTGAAAGCTGAAAAGCTAGAAGCTGAAAATTGAATAGCTGTTAAGCTAGCTGATTATGCTTAAAAGTGTTTGATAAAATTAGCTTTTTGATAAGCTTATAAATGTAAAAATACTAAAATGGACATCTTCATAAAGTTTAAATAGTTTTAAATTAAAATAGGTTTGCTTACATATTAAAATTTAACATTTTGAAAATATATAAAGTAAAACAAAATGTTTATAGTTCATAAAATTAGTTCATACAAAAATTAATGTTCAAACACACAAATGTCAAAATAAAATCACAACCAAACATATTGAAATAAAAATATAGGAGAAGAGAAAAGTCAAAAAGGATTTTAATTGGGAGGGGTAAAAGATGCCATTTGTTTAAAATAATAAGAATAAAGATTGAAAAAAATTCAAAAAGCAACTAGCTCATTCTTGAAACGCTATCTAAGGTAACTTTTCAAAATAAGCTATTATTTTAAGCTATTAGCTTATTTTAGGAATATTATACCAAATAAAGCTTATAACTTATCTTATTAGTAGCTTAAAATAAGCTATAAGCTCCTAAATAAACCCTGCAAAACAGAACCGGTCTCACACAAATTTTTATTTAATAATAATAATTATTATCATCATCAAAAATAGACCCTCCGCCCCCCACCTTGCCAATTTGGTAAGGTGGGGCGTCGGAATTTTTAAAACTTTTCAATTTTTGTAAACCCACTTTCAGTCTTAAAAAAATAACAAAAAAAAAAACAAAAAGAAAAAGACAATGGCATCACCTATCAGACTTGAAAGAAGAAAACTTGTATGGATGTGCTCATTGATCAGTCTTAGTTTAACTTACTTATCGAAGGATTTCGTTCTTCCACTGAATTACGTTGTAATAACGTGTTCGAAGTGTTTGAAATTTCTATATATAGTATAGATTTTGTACTGAATTTTATGACAATTAATATCGTGACTTTGACCCAAGTTTAATGTCATATAAGTTAAATATTGAGGGACAGACTAATTTTAAGAATATAATTAAACAAAATACAATAGGGAATTGAGAGAGACAAGACAGGAATTTTGATTTTTGAATCTGAAAATTAAAGAGTCCAAACACAAATCCTTCAGATTCCCCGTGACGTCCGCTGCCCCATTCATACGAACAAGACTTTTGGCATTTTGCATGGTGGACTAGTTGGTCAACAATATTTAATAAACAATGATTTTTTATCCATGCCATGCCAATTTATATTATAACTAGCGAGCAAGCGCGGACTTTGTGTTCCGTTGACACTTTAGTGACTCTCTTTGAGGGAAGGTTATAGGATTGAACTCCGGTGGTGGGTACAAAAAGTATATTGAACTGATACTAGTCGTAGTCGATAGTAATTGGTTTAGAATTTTAGGTAAGCTCTGATTTTTAGTACATATTTTCCAATCGATTTTTAATTTAATAGAGTCCTAAACCAATTAAACCGGTTGAAATCAGAAAAATAACAAAAGAAAAATATGAAGAGACAAAAATGCACTTACTAAAAAGTAAAAATAAGAAAAGTCATGAAAAGGACTAAAAGTGTCCAAAAAACAATAGTCTGGGATGTTAAATGACAAAAACGATAGTCTGAGACTAAATTTAGAATTGTCACCAAAGACAAGGGATCTCTGGTGAAATTAACTCCCCCCCCAAAAAATAAATACTTACAACTAATAATTTTATTTTAGAGAAAATTTCAATTTTGGTCATATGACTATATCGGCTTTGTTAATTTCAGCACTTAACTTTCAAAAGTGTCAATTTAGTACCTTGAGTATGTAATTTTTGTCAATTTTAGTCAGTCTGACCAAATTGCCGGCTAAATTTCGCCGAAAATTTTTAATAGGTAAAATAATGAGGGTATTTTAGTAATTTTACCTTTTTCCTTTCTTCTCCAACGAGGTGTTTCCGGCCAAATCTTTTCTTTCTTTCTTCTCAATCTCAAGCAGAGCGGAGCTTTGGCATTGGAGGCCAACATTTCCGGCCAAAGAGGGGGATTAACAAGACCGCGGTGAGGACGACGGCCACGGTGAGAACAACATCTCTTTCTTCTCCGACAACTGGAATAGCATTGGGCGGCCGCATGGAGTCCGTCGAACACCTCTGTGGTTTCCGAGTGGTCCTTGGAGTGCGCCGGGGATAATATCACCGACTTGCCGGCCACCTCGTACTTCCCCGGTTGCCTGGTCGGCGGACTTGTGCTCTCCACGTTCGCCGACACCTCCATTGGCCGGAAGAAAATGCTAGAATGGCTGCAGGACCTTTAATTTGGTCCTTCACGATAGTTCCCCAACGTCGGTGGTGTCTAGTCTAAGGAGGCTACCAGTCAAAATGCTTTGGTCATTGATTCCGTGAAGCTCGCAAAAGTAGCGTTTAGATTTGTTTTGGTTTTAAAAGTGGCCTTGAGCCGCTTCGCCTGTACTTTCAAAGCCAGGAGAACTCGCCGGAAACAACCGAAACAGGGTAGACTCGTCGGAGAAGAAGAAAAGAGATGTGAAATGACTAAAATACCCTCACTATTTCAACTATTAAAATTTTTCAGTGAAATTTGGCCGGCAATTTGACCGGAGTGACCAAAATTGACAAAAATTACATAGTCAAGGTACTAAATTGACACTTTTAAAAGTTAAGTGCTGAAATTAACAAGCCCCTATAATCATATGACCAAAATTGAAATTTTCTCAAAAACCTAGTTCAAAGTATATGAATCAAATATTAATAAAGCAGCCCTAATTAAGAGAGTAGCTGAGTGGATGGAGCCGCGGAGCATAATTCTTATATTTAAAGGTTAAGTTTAATTGTTGCCAACAATTTTTTTATCAAGTAGGTCGCATAGGATCTTCTTAAAATTATCTAGGATACAACTCTGATGTGGATACTTCATTCTCGGACAATGATTGTGGCTTGCTTCTGGACTGGTCCGCCTCTTCTCCTGCCGAAATCATCTGACTGAAACCGTTGAAAAATGCAGGTGGATTAGGTGCATTCCTTGTAGCAGAATGACTATTGAGCATCAGCACAACATTCGCCATTGTTGGCCTATCTTCCACCTCTTCTTGGACACACAACAACCCAACATGGATACATTGGATCACTTCATTTTTGGAATACAATCCTCCAAGACTTTGGTCCACCATGTCTAATGCTTTGCCCTCCCTCCAATGTTTCCAAGCCTGCAACATTAACCAAGCCAGTTCAATTCTCAAACCACTATAAAATGTGCTTTAATAGTGTTTTTTAGTGTTTCTTATGGATTTTTTTTTTTTTTTTTTTTTGGTACTCACATAGCTAAGAAGATCTTCCGTTCCAGTTGAGTTCATGGACAAAGAATTATTTTTCTTTCCGGTTATAATTTCCAAGAGTAGGACTCCAAAACTGAAAATATCTGACTTCACTGAGAACAAACCATGCAAAACATATTCCGGAGACATGTAACCACTGCAAAATCATAACATAAACAAAGGATCTAATCAAAACAAGAACGGTTACTGTAGTAAGTTTCTTTAGAAAGAATTAATGGTTAAAACTTACTATGTTCCAATAACTCTACTTGTATTTCCATGAGTTTGATCAAACATAAAAATTCTTGCTAGGCCAAAGTCGGATATTTTTGAATTCATATCTCCATCTAATAGCACGTTGCTTGCTTTCAAATCACGATGTATGATTTTGAGATGTGAATCTTCATGAAGATAAAGGATTCCACGGGCAATTCCTCCTATGATCTTATAACGAGTGAACCAATTCAATAGATACTTCTTCTCTGGATCTGCATAATATTAATTACTAGAATTTAAGCTAGCCCTCAAGTCAGGTTATTAGTTTGATCTTTATACGTCAATAAAATCTTGATTAAAAAAAGAAGTCATTTTTCAATTTGAAACTAACCAAACAAAAAGTAATCAAGACTCTTGTTAAGAACAAATTCATAGATGAGTATCTTTTCTTCTCCCTGCAAACAAAACCCTAGCAGCTTTACTAAATTTCTATGCTGAAGCTTGGCAACCAATGCAATCTCATTCTTGAATTCTTCACTTCCTTGTGTAGAATTCTTTGACAACCTCTTCACTGCTACCTCTTGCCCGTTGGGAAGCATTCCCTGAACACCACCAATATATAATATGTATCATTATCACTTGACAATTAAAATTCATAAGTGTCTAAAATGAAAATCCAATGATGCAGATTGAAAGATTTTACTTTGTAAACGGCACCATATCCACCTTCACCAATTTTATTATCAGGGGAAAAGTAATTTGTGACAGCTTGAACGATACTAAAATCATATTGTGTCGACTGCTCAATCGGAATCTCATTCATACCTACATGATATATAAACGGATGGCAAACAAGAACAGATAGAGGAACTCAATTGATCTGATAATCACAAGCAATATATTATAACTATAATCGGTCAGCTGCTACTATTTTACCACTAGTTTTCTCCTTCACATTAGAATGGGACTTGTTTATTGCTCTTCTCATTTTCAAGGAATAGAAGCATAAAACGAAGAGTAGTATCACAGTTACTGAGGCTGCAAAAATAATCACTTTTGCAGAAGATTTTCCTTTATTCCCTGCACGAATTGAATAGATTGAAATGAACCAAATTACTCATCACTCTGGCCCTTAGTTGATCACAACTGTTTCACTTAGTTAAACAATCAATATGAGTGTTCGATTAATTAAATTTAATTTCCATAACAACTTATTACTCCAAAATACTAAAATTCAAAAATTAAAGTTGCTCAAAAGTAGCTTTTTCATTAATTTTTTTTTGAGAAAATTATTTTTTGCATGTAATCAGCTATCAACTAAAGTTAATTTACCAAACACTTTTCTACAATCAGCTAATATTATCAACTAGTCAAACCCACTAACACAATCAACTAACAGCTATTAGCTATTTACTAAACATCATTTTGTTTTTCTATCATTTTTCTAATGGGGAAAAGAAAAACACTGCTGGAAATTAAGCAATTTCTGACTACCTGAAAGTGATTTTAAATCAAGTCGGGAGCCCTTGTTCCGACCACGGTTGGTATACGGAAAAACCTTTGTTGCTATTTCCGACCACCGAAAAGGTGGTCGGAAATAGCAACCAATTTTATGAAGTGGTCGGAAAAATCAACTACTAGAATGATGGATAGAAATTCTCAACTCAGTTTAAATTTTTTTGAAATACCGACCACAAAGTAAAGGTGGTCATAAATTCTGACCTATTTCTCCACCATAATCCTTCGATAACAAATTTAAAAAATGTCACTTTTCGATCATTTTTTTAAATAATCGGAAAATAAAAAATTTTCAGCAGTGAAATGAGAAACTTGTGAAAAAATGCACTAAGCAGGTGTTAAGAATCACCGTACCATCAAGTTCACCTTTGGTGATAGCGGAATTGGGAACTATAGTGGATGCCGTTGTTTCCAAGGCGGAGGGATTGTAGAAAGGGAAGATCTCATACCTAACGTTACAACTCGGGAACAAAGCTCTAGCACCTAAGGCTCCAAAACAGTAACGAGACAGCAATGAAATAGCTTTTCTGAGGCATATCTGACAGTCATCGTTAGAAAGGTCTGGAGTACACTGCCCAAGAGCGTACACCGTCTCAAACACGCTAAAATTAGCTTCCAACACTGCAAATTTCTTGTCGGAGCCACTGGATAATGCTGGAGGGATTAACTGCTCCAACATGTTTCCCACCAACTGAATGAACCCATTTGGTTGTGTATCGTTGTTACCCACGTTTGTCAATTTGAACCAAATTGATGTGTCTAATATCCCAAACATGGAGTTCTGCGAGTAACGCAACATGCACTCATCGAACCAAATAGTAGCCTTCGTTCCATTGGTGCAAAGCTCCAATATCTCTTTACAGGCATCTCCGATGCAGTTGCGGCAATCGTAGGGGGAGAGGTCGCCCCGGCACAAGAACAAGCCGTGCACGGTGTCATTGGAACTCCCGTCACCGACTGTGGTGTGGTAAAAACCATTTTCTCGGGTGGCATTGGAATAAAGATTAGAGAGGAGAACATCAAGGTTGGCTTTATAGGTGCTGTTAGGAGTGTAAGAATAAATTCTATTTGCGCACATATATTGAATACTAAGATAAGAACCTTTGGTGATGTCAATGAGGCTCATCAGCAACCAAAACCAAATCATGAACATCGTCGTATTGTGTTATATCACAGCAACATCTATATAATAATCACTATATATGGTCGTTTTATTTATTGTAGTGGCGGGTAATAGCGTGAAGAAAGGACTAGATAAGAGAGGAGTTGATCGAGTTGTGGTTGGTCAGATTTTTTTAATTATTAAGAGTATTACTTGATAGGCATGATGAGTACAAATGAGTTAGAATGAAATTGACTTGCACAAAAGGATTTAGCCCAAAGACACGTTTAGTTTAACTAGATACTTAAATTTTCTCTGATCTATGAGTGAAACTGGCTGATTACTTGAAATAATCTTGAATTTTTTTAGTGTATCAGAGTTTAAGATTTAAAGTTACTTCATATACAAAATCAATAATCAAACTCTTGAGACTTAATTAAGGATGAATGAATCCTTATCATTCAATTACACTCCAATTCTCTCATTCCCATAAGACCCTGAGTTGTATTAATTTGCGTGTTTTAAGTGTCTTACAAACGAAGACTCAGAAGAGACAGGGTTGTTTGTTTGTTCATTTCATTTGTGGTGGAAATTAAAGACATGATTGGAACTCTGATAACGCCGTTTGTTTCGTAAACGTGACGTACTGGAAATTCTATGACAAGATAAATACTATGTACACTTTCACTTTTTATTTTTATTTTTTCCTTTTTTTTTTGATGTAAATTTTTTCCTATTTATTGACTTAATATGTTTTGATTGGTTTAAGATAAAGTTCGTCGTCCATTCGTTGTCGGCACTCGTGACTGTCCGTCTGGCAAATAGTAGTTCTATTCCTAATTGTCTCACTCATCTACCATACGAGTTCTAAGGTCTAAATGCGTGACGTATTGAAATTAAAAAAAAAAAAATTATCTCAACTTATTTTATCCGTCATACTTATTATTTAATGGTTAATTCAATTCTTATTTCTTTTAATATTTTCTTTAATATTTTATTACAAATTTTGAAGTAAACTATTTTTTTTTAATAGTACGTTAGATTTAGCTCTTAAATATATAAATTTATACATTAATACTGAATTAAATATTAAAATTTGAAAATAACTCAAGTCTCCTTCAATTAAATCACTCACATATTGCCAAGACCTTGTTGTCTAATGATACGCATCAAAGGAAAGAAATAATTGGTGGTTTAATTAGTGGAGGGTCTACAAGGAATGAATCATATGTAATTAGAGTATAATTGACTAAATATTAGTATAAGAAAATTATGTCTATTAGAATATATTATTACCTTGTATAGTTAGAATAATTGTAGTAACTTAATTATTATATGTGTTAGTAATTTAGTATAAATAGGTCCATTGTATATGAATACCGGGAACCAGTCACAGAGTGTTTGGTTGAAGGGAATTTAAATTCCCTTCCCACTTAAATCTCACCTAATTCCAAAGGCCACAAAATTCCCTTGTTTGGTTGAAAGGAATTGTAATTCCATGGAATTGCAATTCTCCCATTTTCATGGAATTAAAATCCCATGTCCCCCCCCCCCCCCCCCCCCCCACCCCGGGATTTTAATTACTGGGATTTTAGGAAGAAAAAAAGACAGTGATGAGTCAAAATTACTCATTCCTTTTTTTAACCTAAAATTAATGCCTAACAACAACAATGGACATTTTTGACTTTATACTACTTATTCTCTTTCAATTCCCATGTATACCAAACATTGAAATTGAAATTCCCAGTAATTCTATTCCTGTAAGCCAAACACTGGATTTTAAATTCCCACTTTATTTCCAGTAATTCATCTCCCATGAAATTGCAATTCCTTTCCCACGTAATTCCCTCTCTCCAACCAAATGTCCTGTTAGAGAAATATGTTGTGATTCTTCTATTTTAACTATTCTTCTTCGAGCCCACACACGCTCGAAGTCTGAAATTGGAGTTTGCCGTGACTCGAATACGGTTAGGAGCCAGAAGCCTACTCGAAAGGTTTCTTCCGTTGCGTACTAAATTTCAATACGTAACATCTAATGGCACCAAGGTTGGACTCTCATATGGAAAGTCGTGGGTTCGGGCCTTTGGATGCTCTTTGTGCTTCATTAGGTTGAGAAAGTAGTTTATGAACAGATATTACATTGTAATATAGTCAGTATCATTCAAAAAAAAAAATCACTCACATATTATATAGACGGGTTCACATGAAGTCAATATGCATTTATATAATACATTATATTTATTGAAGTATATACATAAATTCATTAATAATAATAATATATTATTTTTATTTTAATTATTATTATTATGCATATATACACATATATCTTTGTTTATATCTAAAGTGTCCTTAATTAATAACTATTTTTAATATAAATATGTGTAATAATAATAATAATAATAATAATAATAATAATAATAATATTATTATTATTATTATTATTATTATTATTGTTATTATTATGATATATTTTGTATAAAAGTATTTATGTATTTTAAATATATATTCTATTTCTATTCCGCCTTTAATAAACCAAACACTAAAATAATATTGAAATACAAATTTTATTATATTTCATTCCACATGAAATATCATTCCTATTTCCTTAAAATTCAATCTTTGAACCAAATATGGTGTAGTATGTAGTCGTCATCCATATTCATACTCTCACCCTAACTAGACTCTTACAATCCAGGCAATTATTTCATAGTCGGGCAAGAATTGAGACATACACTCCAACTCTACTTGTATGTATGCTACCTGTCATACTCCTACACATTCTTGGACCATTTAATTACACCACCAGCCTTGCTGCCATAGCCCACCAAACACGTCCCCCACAGTGCACTCAACGGCATTTTATATCGTGGATCCAGATCCACATAACATTTTGAATCCTGAATCAAAACGACGTCATTTTGATATTTAAATTTTAACGGATTCTTAGTTTTCCGTTGCTTATATTTATACATAGTTAATAATATATTTCAGGTACACAATTACGTAACATAAGACACAGAAATTGACAACGCTAAACACATACACATGTTATATATTTACTTATTTTCAAATGTGATTTAGGTGGTAATATGTTGTGTTACATAACAATCATTATTTTGTGGACCATGGTCCATACAAGTTGTATGGACCATATTTTGTCTACTGTAAAATAATGTACATTCAGTATAAAAATAATGTACATTCAATACAAAAATAATGTACATTGTATTCAGGGGATGTACATTATTTTTGTTCTGAGTGTACATTATATTGTATAATGTACATTCAGTACAAAAATAATGTACATTTAGTGTATTAAAAATGTACTTTTTGTTATGGTCCACACAATAATTTGCCGTTACATAACTACTAATTTGTTCTAGCTACAGAATTTGTTCTATGAGGGTTACGATTATGAGGGTTATGAGGTTTATGAGGGTTACGAAGGTAACCCTCATAACCATTGTCTAACTATTCATTTTTTGAAATCAACAGTGTACATTAGTGCACAATTCTCACAAGGAGGTTGGTTCTTATAGGAACCAACCCCTATATAGGAGAAGGCTCAGGTTCACAGTATAACGATTGGCACTCAATGGGAATGTGAAAGAGCGAATCGAGGGTTTATAGCTCGGGATGCATTTGGATTCCCTGAAAACCCCCCAAACCTTCCCTTTCACCCCCTTTCTACTCGTTTTCCTCGGCTACTACGACATAGTGCCCGGTCAGATCTGCCCCAACACGCACCGTATCATAGTGTGCTTCCCGCAGATCTGCAATCAACATGGCCTTGCCAGCTCCATGGAGCTCTTCAACTACCTCTACTCGGTTCAACCTCTCGCACCCACGCATGGAGGCAGTTTTTTGATGGCTTAATCTCGCACTCACCACTGCAGCATTCAACGGCTTCCGGCCTACAGTCGCGGGTGGAAAGACCGGATCGTCTCCATAAAATACCCGTGGCATCTTTCGGTCGAGCGGACGTAGTCAACTCACTTTACGTCGACCAAGTAGCCTGAAGCGATTGCGGCCTTGCGGTCGACGACCGCGAAGATCTCCTTGGAGTACTATGAGTTCTGGGTCTTCCGCTGTCCTGAGGAGTATGCCAACGCTCGGCTTCAGCCTCTGAGATACAACCTCCGGGAGAAGTACATCCCTCAATCGGTCGACGTGACCGTCGCGGTCCCCCCACCCGTGCCTGTTCCTGGAGCAGAAGGTTCGGGGCGGGAAATCCATGGCTTTTAGGGTAAACTCAGCAAGTCTCACTTGGTCGGGCATCTAACGATTTTTTGTCTCGCCTTCGCAGGTATGAAGATGACCTAGAGCTTTCCGACCACACACTCAGCTAACCGAGCGCCTCGACCGAAGGCAGCCTTTTGAGGGAAGAAGGTCGGCACCTCGGGAACGCCGGCAACCGGTGTCACAGAGCGGGACGTCACGGTCGCAGTGCCTTTTGGACGCGACTGTCCAGGTGGACAAGGCCGTCCCGACCGCTAGCGCGGGGTCGGATCTTCAGATTGTCAAGACCCCCCCCCCCCCTCTCAAACGGGGTAAGGAGAAGGTCGGGGAGCCGACCGCGGAGGAGATGGCTCCATTGAAGCGCGCTCGGCGGCAGAGCCCTCCCGGCCAGACACCTCTGATGAACGCTCTGATCGGCGGGGAGCCCCCGAATACCCTCCTGGCGAGGATCAACACCGCTTTTCCATCTGATCATGACATGGCTGGTTGGACTCCGGAACAGATCTCCGAGCGAGGAGCTCAGGACCTGGTACATGTAACCTATCACTTTAGCCTTTTAATTAGTATTTTCGCATTCGAGCTAGGTCAATGGGCTTAACCTGGCTTTTCTGCAGCTAACCCGCATTCTCACTGCCCTTTACTATCGAGAAAAGGCCACCACGGAGGTTGATTCCCTAAAGCGGGAAGTGAGAGAGCTGAAGAAGAAGCTCAAGGCAGCCGAGGGGGAGGCTAAGAAGGCCGTCGAGGAGGCCGATAGGGCCCGGAAGTAGGCCGAAGACGTTCGGCTCAAACTCAGCGATCTTATTAAGTTTGTGACTGTTGATATTATTACGATTGGTTTCATACCAAGTGGTAGGATTAATCTCATAAGGATTAAATCCCTTATACTAGTTCCGTACTAGTTGTGATGAGATTATTTTATAAAATAAATCCCTATTTTGTTGATATATATATATATATATATATATATATATATATATATATATATTTTGGTTTTGTACCAAAAATTGGTTGGAATTAATTTTCTACAAATTAAATTCCATTTTCGTATAAATATATATATTTTATATTTTTTTTGTGTATCGATTTATTCACCAATATCCAACAAATAATAGGTTATAGGTCCCATTGACTTAGGAAAAAAAAAAAAACCTTACACAATTACAACACATCTTTGGGACTTTGGGTAGAGTACACCAAGTATTTTCGTTTTGCTTATAACTATCTTGGATACAACTCTGAAGTGGAAATTTCATTCACAGACAATGGCTGTGACTTGCTTTTAGACTGATCCGCTTCTTGTCTGGCCGAAATCTTCTCAATTCCACCGTTGAAAAATGCAGGTGGATTAGGTGTCTTCATTGATGCAGAAAAACTATTGAGCATCAGCACAACATTCGCCATTGTTGGCCTTTCATCCACATCTTCTTGGACACACAACAACCCAACATGGATACATTGGATCACTTCATTTCTAGAATACAATCCTCCAAGACTTTGATCAACCATCTCTAATGCTCTGTCCTCCCTCCAATGTTTCCAAGCCTGCAACGTTTAATTAGTTTAAAATGTGATTCTTATTTAGTTTTTTGATATAGATTTTCTAATATACTCACATAGCTAAGTAGATCTTTAGCTCCAGTTGATTGCATGAACAAAGAATTGTTTCTCTTTCCCGTTATAATCTCCAAAAGTAGAACTCCGAAACTGAAAACATCTATCTTTACAGAGAACAAGCCATGCATAACATATTCGGGAGACATGTACCCACTGTAAAACCATAACATAAATAAAGGGTCTAATCAAACAAGAATGACTAGCTACTAGCTGTTTTAAATGTGTTTATGAAGAATGGTAGTACTTCCAGAGATGACAAAATCAAAGTGCATGCAATACTATCCGCATTTAAAATTTCACACTTGCGAAATTAAAACTTACTATGTCCCAATAACTCTACTTGTATTTCCTTGAGTTTGATCAACCATAAAAATCCTTGCCAAACCAAAATCTGATATTTTTGAGTTCATATCTTCATCTAATAACACATTACTAGCTTTCAAATCACGATGTATAATTTTGAGAAGTGAATCTTCATGAAGATAAAGGAGTCCACGGGCTATTCCTAATATAATCTTGAAACGAGTAAACCAATTCAATAGCTGCTTCTTCGATGGATCTGCATAATAATTAACAGAATTAAGCCCTCAAGTCAGGTTACTATTTTGATCTCTCAAAACTTCAATAAAATCCTGATTAGAAAGAGAAACTTTCTCCCAATATAACTAACCAAATAAAAAATAGTCAAGACTTTTGTTGGGAACAAATTCATAAATGAGTATCTTTTCTTCTCCCTCCAAGCAAAACCCCAACAGCTTTACTAAATTTCGATGCAGAAGCTTGGCAACCAAAGCAACCTCATTCTTGAATTCTACAGCTCCCTGCGTTGAAGTCCTGGACAACCTCTTAACTGCTACCTCTTGCCCGTTGGGAAGCCTTCCCTGAGCACCAGTAATAAAATAATCAGCCAACAAGTGACCAAAATGAACGTTATTCAATCTTTCACATTGAAAGACTTTATTTGTACCTTGTAAACAACACCATATCCACCTTCACCAATCTTATTTGCAGGGGAGAAGCAATTTGTGATAGATTTAATAGTACTAAAATCATATTGTACCGACTCTACTGTTGGAATTTCAGTCATGGCTACACAAATAGATAAATGGCAATTAAACGGATTAGTAATACTAACAAGAACATATAGAGAAAAATTTATGAGAATGACAAATTAAACAATCTGGTACTTCATTACCAGAAGTAGTCTCTTTTACAACAGATTGGGACTTCGTTGCTCTTTTCATTTTTAAGAAATAGAAGCATAAAACGAAGAGTAGCATCGCAGTGACGACTGACACTACAGAGACTGCAATAATAATAATAATAACTTTTGCAGAAGATTTTCCTTTTTCCCCTGCACGAATAGATCGAAATTTAACTCACTCATAAAGGAATTTGGTAAAGAATCAGCAGAAGAAGTTTACGTACCTTTGCTGCTAGCGGAATTGGGAAGCATATTTGGCGAAAGAAGAGGAGGAGGAGGAGACGGTGCCGGTGCCGGTGCCGGTGGTGCCATGGCGGGGAGATTGTAGAAAGGGTAGATCTCATACCTAATGTAACAACTTGGGTACGCAGCTCTAGCACCTACGGCTCCATAACAGTAACGAGGCAGCATATCAATGACATTTCTAAAGCAAATCTGACAGTCAACGTTAGAAAGGTCAGGAGTACACTGTCCAAGAGCGTACACCGTCTCAAACACACTAAAATTAGCAACTTGCACTGCAAATTTCTTGTTGGAACCACTGGATGCTCGACTCACTATCTGATCGAACATGCTTCCCACCAACTGCATGTACGCACTTGGTTGAGTAGCGATATTGTCGTCTTTTATTGCGAAATAGTTGGATTCGTCTAATATCCCCAACATGGGTTTCTCGGAGTAACGCAACATGCAGTTATCGTACCAAAACATTGCCGTTGTTCCGTTAGTGCAATCCACCAATATCCTTTTACGGGCATCTCCAACGCAGTTGCGGCAAACGTCCGCGGAGACGTCGCCCCGGCAGAAGAACAAACCGTACACGGTGTCGTTGGAACCGCTGCGGCCGACTGTGGTGTGGTAGAAGCCATCGTCTCGGGTGGCATTGGAATAAAGATTAGAGAGAAGAACATCAAGGTTGGCTTTATAGGTGCTGTTAGGTGTGTAAGAAGTTGTATTTGGGCACCAACATTGTCCAATTTCAGAGCTACTTCTGGTAATGAGGCTCATCAGCAAGCAAAACCAAATCATGATCGTCATATTGTGGTGTACGTACGTATATGATATACCACAGCTTCAAACATATAATAATCACTATTGCAATCGACTATATATTCAGTGAATGAAGAAGATGCAAAGTCGTCATTTTTATTTGTTTATGGTCGTTGCCTGGCCTGGGCCCTGGGAGCAGCGTGCGTGAAGGAAGGAGTAGACGGGAGTTGAGGTTGACGCATTCAAGGGCCGTCATATACAGTTTCTAGGAGGGAGGAAGGAAGTAAATCCCAAGATATTGGCTATTTAAATTGTGTTCTGATTATCAAATTTATGAATATATGTTACGCACTACTATATTTATCCCTCATAAGCCGTCACTACATGATGTGGTAATTAGATGTTTGAATAATTATTGTGACATATTTTATCACATCAGAGATATTATTACCTCCCGAGTTAGCGTGTTTCGTGGTTTAAAAAACAAAGAGAGTTTAATGCTAAGTGACGTCGTTCGTCCGTTTGTGCGAAAAAAAAAAAAAACAAAAAAAAAAACTATGGAATTAGTCTTTCAGCTAAGCACCTTGTGCTCAGATCAGATGGCATGTAGTAACATTTTTTATGTGGGAGGTCATGAGATCGAATCTCAGGAGAGACGTTGCTGATTTTGTGTGTCAGCTCTGTGAAAAATATGTTTGCACAGATACTACAATTAATAGAGTCTACTAATTAGGATGATACAACTTAATTAGTGGGAGAGTTAATATTGTTCACAATATATCATTACCTTGTATAGTTAGTATAATTTTAGTAGGTTAATTATTATAGGTATTAGTAAATTAGTATAAATAGACCATTGTATATGAATATGGAGGAGGAGAGAAATATATTGTTATTTTAGTCATTTATATTGAAGAGTTCTTCATTCTCTTTCGTTATATTATTTTTTCTTTTGGAGTTACCGTAACTCGATTACGAATTGGAGCCAGAAGCCTGCTCGAAAGGTTTCTTCCGTTGCGTACTAAATATCAGTACGTAACACGGGAGCATTAAAAAAAAAAAAAAATTATTGACAATGTCAAAAGTCTTCTGATCCCAAGGTACGTGGGGGTGTAAAAAAGAATTGACATGTCCACGAAAGTCTTTGTCTGATGCAGCCTTTACTAAGTCTTTTGTCTTTTAGTTACAAAAAAGAATTGATATGTCCAGACTCCAGATATAATAACTCTCACAGAATTTTAAAAAATAAATAACGCATTATCTATCAGAGGTTCCACTCCTGTCATACATCAATTCATAGCTTTACTTCCCACCACAAATGAACAAACACCCTCTCAGTCTCTTTGAGTTTTTTTTTTTTTTTTTTTTTTTTTTTTTTTTTTTTGAAGAGATTGAGTCTTCATTTGTTAAACCGTAAAACACGTAAGCTTATACAACTCCATAACTTGAGTCAACGCTAGCTTCTAGAGATTTTTCAGATCATGGCCTATTTGCTTAGAGCATCCTTATCACTGGGAGAACGTAAGAGTGATTAGGAAAGAGAATGTGAGAGGGAAGAGAAAAAAAATAAAAAAATAAACAAAACTGAATTTAAAAAAAAAAAAAGTGAAAAGGAAAGTCTGGCGAGCACAACGCGCCACTAGGCGCGTGCAGTGCGCAAAACGTGTTTTTTATTTATTTTTTTTCTTTATATTTTGACATTATTTCTTGTTTTGCAGGAGAATTCTTTTTGAAATAACTCCTTCCCACATCAATTTTGCTCCTTATTTGGGAAGAGTTCATTCTAAAATAACTTGAAAAAAGACTCTATAGTGAATGTTCTTAGTTAACTTCATTCTAATTCATATCGATCGCTAACTCAGAACATTATTGAAAAAAGAACATTAAATCAATGGGAGTATATTTTAAGTCATTACTAGACTCAACTCCTTCCTTCACGCTGTTACTACAATACGGCAATACATAAAACAACCTACCATATATGCATCTTCTTCAAGGATGGTATTGTAATAGCGATTATAATTATATACAACATAAAATGTTAGATATTTATATAGTAAATGTGTGTTTGAGAATTTCAAACATGGTATTCCTCATGTCCTACTTATTATTCATTAATCAAACTAACTCTTTATTCTTTGTTTATTTTTTTAGTATTTTTTACTTATTTTAAAATTTAATTTTTTGTTTGTAATAGTACTTTTAGTGAAGTTTCTAAATATATACATTTTGTATATTAATACTAAACTAAATATTATGAAAAATTAAATTAAAATAACTTTAATCAAACCTCGTTAACTGAACCAGACATATAAAATTGGACGTAAGGAATACTAAACTTAAATAATAATTTGGAAGTTGTGAAGTTTGTTGGTCCCGGTAGGGTTATAACGAGAGTCTAGAGGGGGGGGGGGGGGGGGTGAATAGACTCTTTTCAGATTTTTGCAAGTAACAACATTTCGGCGTTACAGCGCAGCGGAAATATTGAGTTAGTTTTAAATACTTTGCACAATTTGACGTTTTTATGAAGCTTTCGGTTTGAACGCGAATGATGATATGATGTAAAAAGTAAATCGTGGAAAGTAAAGAGATAGGGAGACGAGAGTTTTATAGTGGTTCGGCCAACTTTGCCTACTTCCACTCTTCTTCCACAACTTATGGAAGGTTTGCACTATCACTCATTAGTACAAATACACAAGAAGCTTCCTTGATCACTAAGCCGGACAGCTTCCTGCAGGTTTTTCAACTCCGCGAGTTTACTCCGCCTCTATCAACGTCTTCTTCAGAGTTGAGGTTGGTAGAAAATGAATTCTGATTTCTCCAACGTGGTGAAGTCTTGATTGAATGGAGGATGATCACTTCTTTTAAAATGCAAGACTTATTCAAGGTGGAAGATGAGAAATAATGAGCTTCTTCAAATATCTTCACGCCTTGACACTGGTTCGCAAAAAAGCTTGGTGATAACTTTGAGATTGCTTAAGAGCTTTTTGCTTGAGAATATTGTCGAGTGAAAAGAACCAGCACCTTCTTAGTTGATGAAGGTGGGTTTATATAGGTGAGGGAAATTTCATCCGTTGGAGGGAGATGAAATTTCAAACCTATTATCCAGTGGGTAAGGACCGGGGAGCTTGTTGCATTAAATGCTCCATTAATGTGGTTTGTACCATGTAACCGTTGAGGGCATGGATAGCCTTAGGGTTTTGTATTTTAGCTTCAAGGATGGTACAACTTCATTTAATGCTCCTTGGTATGCGTATCCCACATGTTGAGGTCCTTTTGTTCCTAGGATGGTTAGTCAACTCAGACAGTAGTGACATTCTTCTTGTTGTTGAAGAGAATGAATGTCTTGATGAATTGTTATAATGATAGCTGTCTTTACGAGGTGATTGATAACCTTGGATGAACTTTCGTTGTTGATGCTTCAGTCTTCGTGCTTTGTGTCTCTTTTCGTCTTGATAGCCCTAACTAAAGAACATAACTCGTTTTCGTGTGTTTGTCTAGCTTAACACGAATTACAGTGCGAGTTATGACAACTTTCGTCTAGAACGAAAGCAGCGATTAAAAATAACGAAGGTTAGGGGTCTACATTCTAGGTTACATTGGTATCACCAAAATCCTAATACAAGTGTTTCTAACAATTTCCCCCTTTTTGATGCTGCCAAAACCTATACTCTTCTTATAAGGCTGATAAATGTCCTATAAAGGATTCTTTATTTCAAAACAGCCATTACCGAGAGTTTACAAGTCATTTCTAGATAAATACAAGTAACAAACAAGACACTGACAAGAAACTTAGACAAGTAACACGAGATGTGTAACAACTAAAGTTTTCATATAGATAGATAAACTTACAGAAGTTTTAAGGAAGACAGAAAGTAAACATCTTACATTTCTAAAAGTTTCGTCTTCTGCTGCTTGACCTCCTTGTATTCACGAGTGTCTCTTTCCTTTTGCTCCTTGAGCATTCTATCGGTGTCAATCTCTTCATTGATTCGTTCTCTGAAAACTTTGATTTGATTCTCCCTAATTAGATCTTCATATTTTCCCTTTATGTTGAGGCTTATGTAGTTGTTGTAGGCTTCAAGAATGTTTGCTCCCTCAACAATTCCTAACTTCCACCACGAGATGAGTTCGAAAGAATTCATCCCTTCTGTATAGCTTTTTCCAGATTCGACATGTACTTTGAAAGCTGCATTGTAGATAAC